GCCTTGAGTTCCTTTGTTCTAAGTAGCTTCCTCTTTGCATCACAGGCCAATTCTGAAAGTATTCTTCCAGAAATCCTATATATTTGATATGAAGGCATGCAAAATCAATTTGCAGAATGAAATGGTAAAAAAAGAAAAAACTGCTTAGAAGAAAGAATTTAGATCTGAAATTTACTTGATATGTACAGTTAGGCTAAAGAAAGTCAGATAATCCTATGAAATAGTACCGGTGAATGATAGTAGCCTGTTTCTTTTCCTTCCCTCTGGTGATCCATATTTTGCAGGCAATCTAATGCAGTGACTAATAGTGAAGACTCTGAAGCCGATTGGCTGGTTCAAATATTGTATCTGCTGCTTGCTGACTTTGAGACTTTGGCAAATTAAAATGTTGAGTGAGTACCTGGTTCATGATAAGAGCAATGTCGGTCTTTGCTATTTTTGATCCCCTGTGGACCCTTGAAAATTTTACAACACATTCTTATTCTTCAAAAAGTTTTTTTTCCAGATTTCATGAGAAAAACACATCTTTTCAGATTAGTTATTTTTGAAACATGCAAAACATCCAAACATAGAAATCATTTTAGTAGGTACAATTTGGTTGCCTTCTTCTTGATAACTTCTAGGGAGACACTTTAATCTCTCCAAAAAATCTTCTCTAAATTACACTTTTATCTACATTACTTTGGTACCTGTAAATAGTAAATTCCTCTGACCTGGGATCAGAGTGGGTGGCCTTCCTTTCATCTGAATATCTTGTCTCTGTTGCTAAATTCAGGGACAAAGATAACTTGAGCACCTATAACTCTAGCTCATGAACTCTGTGCCACTTTAGACTTAGTTTTTATTCAAGAATCATATAAGGCAGAGATATGTCTTCTGGGGGAAAATTATGTCATTGAATAAATAGAACAGGAAGTGACTTTAGAGTCATTAGGCCAACTCTTTAATTTTCCAAGAATTGAGATTCAGTGAGATGTGACTCTTTTAAGGGTCCTTTCTCTTATGTACAAGTTGTAATGATACAGAGATAACATTAATTGAGTCTGGAAAAATCTTGAAAATCAAATTAACTTACTCTATTTTAGTGCTTATTTGCCCCATTCTGGAAAGAATAAACATGAAATCTCGTGAATAAGATCCTAATGCTTGAGAATTTTGTATCTTTAAATGTTTTCTCGACATGCCCTAGTCAGTTATGTAACCATGCGCAAGGATATGCACAGAATTTCTTTTTTTTTTTTTTAAAGATGACAGGTAAGGGGATCTTAACCCTTGACTTAGTGTTGCCAGCACCACGCTCACCCAGTGAGCCAACTGGCCATCCCTATATGGGATCCGAACCAGTGGCCTTGGTGTTATCAGCACCGCACTCTCCCGAGTGAGCCACGGGCCGGCCCCATGCACAGAATTTCTGATACTGTTTTGTGGGCATTAAATGAGATGTTACAAGGCAATCACTTTGTTTAATGCCTGGCCCACAGGAAGTATTTAATAAATATTAGCCATTTATATATTACTATTATTTGTTTATATCTGGTAATCCTCTTTTAGCCAAAAGGCTAGGTAATGAAACATTTACCCACAGTCTTGGAGATAATTATTATATCACCTTCCACAGTATCTAAAGAGGCAGGTAAGAAAAATGGCATTATCATTATTGAAGTCTGAGAAAACATAGACACTAAAAGATTTGCAAGCACATTTCAATTATTCAAATAGGTTAGAAGCAGAAAGAGAAACATATTTTTTATTTCCTGCCTTCTTGACCCCAAGTTTAATACTTTAGTTTTATATATTTTCAGTTTCCTAAATAACTAACCATGAAAATGAAACTGTTTTATTAAATAGAATATATTAAAATGAACCAAAATTCTTTAGAAGGAGAGTAAACAAAGTTTTGTGAGCTTGTCTGGGAGACTTCCTTCCTTCTCCATCAATAAACCAGAAAAGGAGAAACAGGTTTGTTTGAACACTTCCCTTTTATCAAAATATAGGGAACTAATATGAAGGATGTTTTTTAAACTCATATTTATTTTTTCATTATAAAAGAAATATGTAATAACCACTAATACTTATCACACAGTAACTACTTACTAAGCAACACACTGAGTGATTTAAATGCACTAATTCATTTAGTCCTTTTAATTCTGGGAAGTAAGAACGTTATCATCACAATTTTATAGCTAAGAAAACTGGTGCTAAGAGGGGTTCAGGCTCTGCCTAAAGTTCCAGAGCTCCAGAACGTTGGAGTTGAGATTCCTCATTAAGTGGTCAGGACACCAGGCTGAAAATTTTAATCACTACCACATTACTACACAGGTTGGAAAATAAGGAAAAGAACAAAATTGGCCTCTAGCTTAACACCAGATTTGGAAGACCAGTTAGAAATTTGCTAATTAATTACCACGGGATTAAAAGTTTCCTAATTAGGAAGACGTTAGAGAAAATGGAGATGTATTCAATTCAATTACAATAGCTCTTCAAGTTATGGTGTGGATATTATCATACAAACTGGCACATTTATTCACGGTTACTTCTCATGCAGTGCGCTCTGGGTGCCCAGGATGGTGCTGAAGGTGCGACCCAGAGAAATCACTGCACTGGCCGGGATAGTGTTGCGAGATGACAGCCCAGGCGGGGTTAGCGCCCTGAATTGGACCCCTTCTCCTTCTCCCTGTTCAAGGCTCTGTGCTCGTTTCCTCAGGAGAGGAGGAACTGGCCGGGATAGTGTTGCGAGATGACAGCCCAGGCGGGGTTAGCGCCCTGCATTGGACCCCTTCTCCTTCTCCCTGTTCAAGGCTCTGTGCTCGTTTCCTCAGGAGAGGAGGAAGTAGGGTGAAAAATACAAGTTGTCTGCCCACCACTTCTCTCTGTGGCTTTTAGTTCCAAAGCCCAAGGACAGAAAAGAAAGAATTCTTGAGCATAGACTCCTGAAGGGAAACGATCCTTCCTTCCGATCAATTGCTAATAATATTAGCAATCATTTCTACTCATAGATCCCTATCTATGCATTAGGCACCTTTTGAAGCACATATCTACTATTCATTTAATTTCTCAAAGTGCTATGAGGGAGTTATTAATATTATTAAAATGCTCCACGAAGATTTGGTTTTGTCTGGTTTTGTTTACTGCTATATCTCTAGTGTCCACAACAGTACCTAGCAAACATTAGGTTCAAGTAAATTTATTGTTGAATAAATCTCTAAAGATGAAGGAACTAAGGCACAGAGAGGTTAAGTAACTTGTTCAAAGACCCACAGCTGACAGTAGACTAAGAGATTTTGGAGCAGCCCCACCTGCGTTGGGATAAGAGAAGAGATAGGAAGGGAAACTTCTGGTCCCTGAGGGCAGGGGGACCCTGGAATCCTTTTGTGCTACCAGGCAGATGGCAAGACCATGGAGCAGAAATGGCTGTGTTGGTTATTGGGCAGTTGGAATCTTAGGCAGCATTAGAAGTGACCAAACTGCCACATTTGGGCAAGAAAGTGGTAGAATGAAGATGCTACAGGAGCAGCGGAGAGCTATTGGCATGAAGGTCATGTGCACAAGGACAACGGGTGGCCTCTAGGACAGCCTGTGTTGACTGATGACCAAGGATCAAATGGCTGCTCCTCTTCCAATTCGTGATTTGTTACTTTGTTTTTGTCCAGCTGACAGAATGGGCTGTAAATCAGAAAATTGTTACAAAACCGAGGAACTTGCTATTTCTTGCATACCTGATTTTTTTTTTTTCCTGAAGCAGTTTCTTATCATAGACAGTCTACGGCCGTACCACCCTGAATGAGCCCGATCTCATCTGATCTCAGAAGCTAAGCAGGGTTGGGCCTGGTTAGTATTTGGATGGGAGATAGGCAGCATTATGTAGGGAAAAGTATTACGTGTGTCATCAGAAGGCCTAGGCTTTCATCCTAGCTTGTGCCGTCAAAAATTCATGGGCAACTCACCTTATAATCTCAATTTCCTCATCTATAAAATAGGAATTAAAAATAATTGGGATGAAGACAAAAACATTTTTTTAAAATGTAAGTTAAAACTTAGTGAAACTCAGTGAACTCTTGCTGCCTATGGGTGGAATTTTCTGGAAATTAAAACTGGCCTGTTATCAAAATGTTTCACAGATAGTCTGCAGGCTCAATAATGCACAGGTACACAGGCAGATATCTCATTGGATCTTTTCACTGAGATGTCCTAATATTATAGCTGGAATTAATTCCTGCACCAAGGAGTGAAAAAATAAGATTCTAAAACAGATAGGCCTTTGTTATTAATTTGTATAAGATTATCAACATGATGTATTGGAATCTTCCATGCCAGGTTTACTTTAAACAATATGGCTGTTCTGAAAAATGAGTGTAAATGAAATATACCAGCAGCAATGCAAATTTAGAGTCCTTGAGAAAATGTGAATTGTGTGGAAATATAAATCAGGTTCATTCAGTCATCAGACATATATTGTAGCCAATGACATGCCTGACACTCCTCTCGGCACTGAGGAAACAACAGTAAACAAAACAATGAAGTGCCTGCCCTCATGGAGCTTACATTTTACTAGAGGAGACTAAAAACAAATAAATATAATGGGCTATATTCTCAGACACTGCAACGAAGAAACACACAGCAGGTAAAGGATGAGACTGTTTGAGGTGGGTTCTGGTAAGCAGATGGTCAGCAAAGGAATCTCCGAGGAGACCTCTTTAAGGGAAGGAAGCAAGCCATGTGTGTAACTGTAAAGAGGAGTTAATTTTGCTCAGGTTTCTCATTCTCCAGGATCCAAATAAACAAATGTAGCAATAGGCAAACATAAGCACACATAACTCTGACGACCCTGTATGCAAATATGTCAGGTTATTTATATGCAGATATTCTATAAAATCCAAGAATAACCAGAAGTCTTTGCAAACTTGAGCTTTTGAATATTTCATGCATATTTCATCTAAGAAATGAAGGAATAGATTTAGGTGGAAGTAAGCTGCCTCTTTTCTCATTGGTTTGGGACTGTCACTTACTCATCATATAAACCCAAAGTGCAGTCACAGACCCAAGCATAGAAGACACTAGAGAGTCCACAGAGACACAGCACAAGTAAGTGATATTACTGAACTCTTCATAGATAAGAAATGAGATATTCTCAGTCTTTACCTTAGAGTTTTATTTTTATTGCTGTCATATCCTGTCTGTGACTGAGGGACTGTCTTGTGACCTATTTTCCCCATTTTACTTACTCTGGTCTTGTCTCACCCGGGGCCACTCCAAGTTTGTGACCGTGTGGAAATCAAATGGTCATTTCTAAGAGAGGTATGGGTACATGAGATTTAAAAAGACTCCTCCAACTGGATTTTAACATAGAAAATATAGTCAGTACTGGAGGAAAAATCCTGTCCTAATCAGAGTTTGCTACCTCCTCCAGAATTTTCCCAAGTGATTTTTCAATGTGTGAAGCAGTAGAGAATTTCACTTTATGGTTCTTTACTCTCCTTTTTCTTTTTTTTAAGTGTAGAAATTTTACTTGTAGTATTTTCTATTATTTAAGGCACATTTTGTTGAAGTGTCTCCATGTTTTGCCAAGAATTGCATTCTATCATCATTTGATTTCAGAGATAGCTTACAGGATTTAACCCAGGCAAGGAATTTGAACTCACAGCTCCCAAAGGATACTTTAATTATTCCTTTTGCTTTGGCTTTAATGTGAGGCAACTATTTAAAAAGATATTTAGTTGGTATTTAATAAGAAAATAGAGATCCCAGCTTGCCAATCCAAAATTAAACATTCGGTATTTGACTGAAATCAATTAACTTAGTTAAAAATTCTTCTATTTATTCATTGTCCTACAATTTAACTCCAACTATTCCAGAACTGAACTACAAATGCCCAGAGACACTGGGAAATGAAGGAAATCAGCATTCGCTACCACCATAAGAGAGTAATAAAGTGATGTTAATGTAAATATTTGCGAGACATTTCTATGTGGACAATCTCACATAATTGCTGTCTGAATCCAATTTTTGCATTTGAAAACACCAGAATCTACACAATGTTTGTGCAAACATTATGCTCTATGCCATTATATTTTGTATACGTTTATTTTTGGACAAGTTAAGATGTAGCAAAGAAGAGGTGTAAGCAAATTCACAAGTTATTTTTGTTTTTATACTTCAAACTCACAAGTTATTGTACAATTACTAGGCATATAAAAAACTGTATTCCCAAGTATGTTTGAGCTCCTAATGTCTCTTATTTAAGAATAAGAGCTCAAGTTGGCCAATGTTTTGGATCAGACTGTAGAATGGTTAATACTTAATTCCTTATTTGTATGTTTCCTATCCATCAACATTACTCCAAAAGTTCTATCCCTTTTTTTATCTGCTGAAATCTTTATTAAGATGTTTAACATAGTAATTAAATATCAGCTTCCTTTGCCAAAGAATTAAGTTTGCATTGTTGTAAACTTTCTGGCACAGAAGCTAAAATTTTTCGAAACTATTTTTTGCTGTGCTGTTACAGCAATATATAGAATAGAATATCAGCTTAGTCAAAATTAAATGATTTTATTATGAAGATTTGTACTTTATCAATAACAATGTTAAAATTGCCCCTGGGATTGAATGTTCCTATATTTTTTGTTTTTAATCAGCTAAAATATATCAGCATTACATAAACTAAAAAGAGCTACGAACCTAGGAGAAAGAAAGCACCCAAGATAGAATTTTTCAAAAACATTATTTCCCTTGTAAAATATTTAATTTCCTAGCAAGTTTAGCATATATTAAAAGTTAAATCTTCTGCATCTGATGGCTACATTCGTATGAGTTTATATGTGGAAGTTTCAATCCAGGGTATTTATTAGCCATCATTTCCTGTGCTCTTTGAGAAACTTCATATCTTATTTTTTGGACAGAATTCTGAATGGGGTTTTTAACTATTTGCAGAATGAGGAACTTTACATGACTTTCTTTGGAGTGTAAAGAAGCAAGTGGTTAGTTTTAGGTATAAAGGAGATCTTCAGCTTTTTTACTTCATGTTTCTGTATCACTTCAGAAAACATATACAGTTTTTGCTACGTGTGATTCTTAACACAAAATGACCAGAGGAAGGGTTCAGAAATGAAGCTAGCAGGAAATAAGCGACCAGCATGACACTGGAGTTCTGCTAGGCTAGTCAAAACATGTTTAGTCAAATCATATCCAAATAAACTGGATGTTATTTCTGTGTATGATGTGAAGTTAAGGTCTAAGTATGTTTTCTTTTTCTTTTTTCCCTCTATTATCTCAGAACCATTTTAGCCCCCTCTCTTTATGTCCTCACTGTATATCATTTCTGTCATATAGGTGAGGTACTGTTTTAAGACTCTTATGCAACCTCTGTATGTTTAGTCCTGAACAAATATCATATTACCTTAATTACAAGGCTTTTTATGTAAGTCTTGCTGTCTGGTAGGTCAAATCCTACGTTTCTGTTCTCTTAGTTTGTCTCAGCTATTCTGGTCTTTAGTATTTCCATTTGAAATTTAGAATAGGTTAATTTGTAGAATCTCTTGGATTTCAAATACAGACAATCATTTTGATTGCAAATGGACAGTTTGTCTCTTCCTTTCTACTCCCACATATGTTATATTTTATTGTCTTATCTTATTGAATTAGCTAGGCTGTACAGGGCTATGCTGAATGGTAGGGGTGATAATGGGATTCTTGTTATTCCTAACTGTAGCACTCTTTTACCTGCCCGTAATCCTGCCGACTGGGCCAATTGCCGAGCTAGGGCTGTGTCTGGACCCCTCAAGCCCATTGTCCAGACTGGGTTACAAACCCTTTACATGCCAGGCTGGGTCCCCAGACCCCTCACATGCCAGGCTGGGTCACTGGACCGCTCACACTCCAGGCTGGGTCACTAGACCCCTCACATACCAAGCTGGGTCACCAGACCTCTCACACACAGGTCTATGAGCTTGGTAATTGGCAAAAAGGTCCTTGGAACCATAGGTTCGAGAGCATGGCTGTGCAGAGCAGGTGCCTGAGGCAGATGCCAGCCAAGTTGCGGTGCCATGCACACGCACTAACCCCACCCACCCACACACAATTTGCTTACAAAGAATGCACCACACCACCCCCAACCAAATGGGCACGTGAGGGGGGCTGATTAAATTATTCTATTTTCCCAACAATCCACCCCTTCAGGTCCCTCACCATACAATCTACACACTCAGAATCTTCCACAATGTTCCCTTAGAGAGGATAAATGACCCTTACATTTACATAATGTAAATTTTGTAATGACCCTATTGTTTGTTCAATATGCTTCAAGGCTTGTGGTTCTGTCCTTTTAACTATTAGCTGCATATGTCTGGTTAGTAGTCACCATTGATGTGATCCTCCATGGAAATCCTGCAGTCATACTGATGGGCAGTTCAACACACATTCAGTAGATGATCACGCCAATGTATATATGTTCCCAGTCAACTGTGGTTCAGTGCCTGCAGCCCGAACACTTATCCAAGGCATCAACTTCATCATTTCCTGGACTGGCTGAGGAGAAATATTTGTGACATGGAAAAGAGTTCTTTCTCAAGCCCCAATTCCCATAACTCTTGCCCCATGGCTTGTCCCCACAGGGGTAGGTGGCTTACCATCCCTTGTTGATACTTCCAAGTAGAGATCCAAAGGGTTAAACCTTTGTATGCAGCCCAGCTATCAGTACAGATGGTTAATGGCCCAGCCTTATTTTTTATCAACATCCATACTGCTCTCATGAAATGTGGCCATTTTCATGCCACATGGTATCTGTTAAGGGCTGGACAGCAACCGCTGTCCACGATGCTGAATGTCCCATGCTAGAGCTATCTGTATACCAAGGTTGCTCTGTGATAGGTCCCTGTCCCTCATGGAAAGGTTTAGCCACCACTTCCACGGGTAAGGGTTGTGCCAAAGTTTCTGCCACAACCTCTACTGGGCCTACCATGGTTTGCAACTCTTTGGACAGAGGACTCATTGACACTGTGCTCCTTTGTTCTATATATGCTCCCCATTTAGACAGAGTGGGAGTCTGAACTACACCTATTTTAGGGTTGGTGGCCCATGTGCACAGCCAACCTGTTATGGGGTATGTCATCCTTACTAGGACTTTGGCAGTTCCTGTGATAGCTTCAGTGGCTATCAAGGCAGAATACACAGCTGCTAACTGCTTTTCTATTAGGGTGTAGCACACTTAAGCACCCTTCCAGACCTGAGACCAGAATCTGCCAGGTTTGCAGAATCAGTCTTGTCTCTGCCACAAACCCAATCCTAACCCCTCCTGGGTTATACGTATGTCTAACTCAAATGGCTTAGTGGGGTCAGCCACTTGTAAAGCTTGTATTTGCTGTATTGCACTTTTTGTAGCCAGGTAAGCCTTTTCTACTTCCCCAGTCCAAGTGCAGAGGGGTCCTTTCTTTGTCAGTGCATACAGTGGGCATGCCATTTGGGCCATATGGGGTACAACAGCTCTCCAATACCCAAAAAGTCCCAAATATGTCTGTAGCTGAGCTACAGTTGTGGGTCAAGGATATGCCAGTATCTTATCTATAATAGCTTCTGGGATGACCCTCGTCTTACCCGACCAGACCACTCCCAGGAATTTGACTGACAGCCCAGGTCCTTACACTTTGACTGTGTTCACAGCCCACCCACATTATTCCAAATGACTTAACAGCATTGGAGCTGCCTGGGTTAAATCTGCAAGAGAATCAGAGGTTAGTAACACATCATCGATGTAGTGAAACATTGTAACTGTGCTGGGCCTAGTCTACTTTGCTAGGTCTGCAGCTGCTAAACTATGACAGATGGTTGGACTATGCAGATAACCTTGGGGCAATACTTGAAAGGTCCACTGTCTCCCTTCCCAGGTGAAGGCGAACTGATCTTGGCTATCAGCTGAGATTGGAACAGAGAAAAACGCATTTGCAAGGTCCTGTACTTAATGTTAAGTCCCCAGCTGAGTTATCAGCTGATCCGTCAAGTCATGAACTGAAGGCACAGCTGCATGCAAAAGAGGCACTACTTTGTTTAGTTCCTGATAATCTACAGTCATTCTTCAAGTATCATCAGGCTTT